CTTTCTTTGAGCTGGTTGTGATGTTGAAAGAGGAAATCAACACGTCCACTTGTTTACAAAGATCATAGCATCTGGTAGTTGTAATATTATTGATGGAAACATGTGGTGACGATTAAATGCTTGCTTGTGAATCATAATCACTTGGATTTGGAAGTTAGCAACATAGTGAAAGATCATAGGACCATAGTCCAGAGATAAAAATGGACTCTTATGATATTGGACGTGATGTCAGCTTTATATAATCAAATAGATTCCTAAGAGCACACAGAGACCTAAGAAAATCGAAGTACTTTCTCTCTTGTATCTATTTCTTTTGGAACTAATTCAGAATGCCAATGAGCTGGAATTTGAGAATGTGTATTAGCCCAAGAATCAAACAAAAGAAGCCATTAAAAGTAGTCGATAGGTGAGGGGTGTGAACAAAGATCAGTTAAAGTCTGGAAGTACAAACCAAGTGATAGATTGCTCTCAAAATTATAAGTGACAACTTACTTAGGCCTCACCGCTTCCCACTCTGTAACTGCCTTTCGTCTTTGAAGTTGATCTTTGCACTAGAGCACAGGAGGGGAGCGGGGGAGAAAGAAAGAGACCAGCAGTTTCTGTTTGAATGGCTTTATGAGTTATGAATTGGATTATAGTTGAGTTGGAAATGTTTGGACTAAATGGGTATGTTTAGACAGGTCCAGTGAGATGAGCTTCATGCATGCTTTGTTTTAGTGAGATTATGGTGAGTTATTGTATTGTGTCTCGAACATGCCCTAGCCTACTTTTGACATACTTTGAATTACGTTGAATCTTTTCTATCATGTTTAAATCTTTTTTACCATGATAGTGTGTTGTGGAGTTTCGCAATCACAAGTCATTTTTTATTCATAGCAGTAAATATTGAGTTTTGTTATTTTCCATTGTGGCCAACAGTTTGAAATTGTTTTTCAAACTTTCTACCATGAAAATCATTGTTGTTTGGGTTTTAAATTCTTTATTACCATGATAGAATACTTGAATAATGATTGACATGTGATTATAAATAGTAGAGTGTTCCATGGTGTTTACAGTTACTTAACCGTATGATGTGTCTCTCCAAAGATAGTGACAGTGAAATTCAAACAACATATTTCTCAGACAATGCAAATAAACTCTTCTAACATTGATTATGATTAGGAACATATTATGGAATGAAACCAATCACCTCATAGCAGATTTTGGATTGTTAGGTTTCACAGCCAGCAGTGCATTGTTTTATCATAGTTGATTTAGAAGGCGATAAAAGTTAAAATATAAATCCCCTTTAGAGAGATGAAAGAATGACTCAAACTGCTACACTTTTCTTTAATACATCGAACCTTTAAAGGATACTTAAGTCACTGGAACAAATTATTTGCCATTTGACACTGAAGACAAGTCTTTCTCAATTTGGTTAGGTTGTAGTATGTTTATAATCTTTAAGCTAAGAAAGGTTCATGTGAATAAGGATATTAGGGCTATACATTTTCATTAAACAAAGAAGAGGTCTGGATACTAAAGTCATTACTGAAGAAATATAAATTCAAACGCTGTCAACATAACAAAACAGCAGCTTTCTAATGTGAACTTGACTGAGCATGGCCAGCTCCTACATATGATATGTGGTAGGAGTTTCTGGCTGACTTGAAGCAACTACAAATGAGGCTAAACTACTTAAAGAGTGAAACCTCCATCTACACATATAACTTGTCCAGTGATATATGAGGCAGCAGGAAGGCAAAGAAAAGCAGCCATTCCTGAAATCTCTTTAGGCTCTCCTATTCGGCCAGCAGGAATTTGGGACGCAAAAGCATTTGCTGCATTTTCTCCCATTGGTGATTTTTCCTGAGAAAACAAGTTAAAACGGGAATCATAAGCAGTACCAAGTCTCATTGGATAACATAATTTAACATGCAGAAGAGAGGATTTAAATTTATAAAGAAGAAGACCCTTGAATCTAATGCCTTAGAGTTCAAACCCAATTAGGATCTCTTTGACAGGTAATGTTCTCTCAAGTCCCAACATGACAATATTAGAATAATATACAAGCTTTCATGAAATAATAGGAAACACAAATGCAAAGTGTTTGTAGTCTATAAAGGGAAGTTTTATGTGGTTCCAAACTCATTTACATGCATACTCTTGAAATCAAGTGAAACATAATGCCTAAAATAATCTCCTCAGCATGTATGCTCTCTCAAGTCCCAACATGAGAATACTAAAATATAATTGTAGATACCGCAACATGCAAGCTTCCGTGAAATAATAGAGGACCATAAGTGCAGGAAACTGGTATGCTTATACCATGCAAAACTCTAAAAGTACGGTCATCACAGTTCCAGCTGCTATTGCGTTGACACGAATATTATCTTTGGCCCATTCCTTTGCCATGTACTTGGTGATTTGATTTATGGCTCCTGTATCAAATTAAATTTGCAGGTGTCGTATCAAAGTATTCAGGTAATTAGGTTATCACTCAGAGGTGAAGCAGACGATTGATGAGAGAAAAAGAAGGTATATTTACCTTTGGAAGCTGCATAGGCTGAAACAAGAGGCAGCACTTTGGCACTGGAAATGGAGGAGATATTTACAATAGCACCATCTCCTGATGCTTTTAGAAGAGGGTGTGCTAGTTGGCTTAAATGGTAAGTAGCCTCAAAATTGGTGCTCATCATAGTTGATATATCTTCAGCTTTGTTATCCAGGCTTTCCTTAACATCACTTGTCCCGGCATTGTTTATCTAAAACGAAATCACTGGATGAAATCCACTAAAACATGATCATGTCTCAAAGATAAGGATAACTAGTAGAGACTAAAGTCAATTCCCCACTTATAAAAATAACTAAATATATCTTTTTCTGCTACGCATAGAAGAAAACATGATTTCATAGATATATAACTCACGAGGATGTTGAGCTTTCCATGAAAAACGGCACCAACAGTTTCCATTAAATTTTGACGTTGGTCGCGAGACTGCACATCACAGACTGATCCAGTAACACTAAATCCTTTGCTTTTCCATTCTTTCAAACACATATCGATGTCTGCTTGGTTACGTGAACATATATGCACAGCTGCTCCAAATTCTGCCAATTCTTCCACTATGGCATGTCTGTTTCCAACTCAACAAACATAAATCAGTATCAGAAAAAGCACAGACCAAATCAAATAGGAAAGAACTTTGAATCAAATGCAAGTAACTAATAACTAACCCGATGCCTCTGGTTGCTCCGGTGACAAGAGCAGTCATCCCACTCAGCGACCATCTCTTGTCTTTGAGTACCGCTTCTGCCATTTATGTTTATTTCTCTGCTAATCAATGCAAACCTTGGAGGGGGTGATAAACCAACAAGTGTCTGTGAGGTGTTTGTGGTATTCATATTTAGATGAACAAACATAAGATGCATATATGTGGTTATAAATGAATGCTTGAAAGTGACTAAAATTAAGTGGACAAGTTGCAAAAAAGTTGACGTGGTGGTTGGAACGAGCCTTACTGCACTTGCCCTATTCGCTAAACTATAGTGAAACAGTGAAGCTTTTTTCTTTTTTTGGGTGGACAACGGTGAATCTTGACAAAACAATACAATACAATGGCTTCCAAGAGCAGGACCACCGTGATAGTGTTATTGATGCTGATCAGTAGATTCGGATCTCCAAGTGATTGGACGACAGTGGAGAATGTATTAGGACCGCATAAGTTATCCTAGAAGAGTAAGATACTTCGTAAATCAACATCGATGGAAGAAATCTTCAAGTTCAAACTTATTTCTCATTAGTTCTAACATCAAATTTTCTTAAACTCTAGCATCCTTCCCTGATTTAATTATTTTATTTATATACTAGATATGCTTCATATTATTTATAATTTATTACTAATGCCTTTTACAAAGCATTCACCACTTTCTATATGTTTGATGATATTCGAAGAACACAGTGTGAATATAAAACACTTTTTTGTCATATAAATTTTCATATCGATTGTATGCCGTCAGGCTAGGATTTAATTTGAAAAAAAAAAAAATTATACCAGACCATGGTAAGACAGTGATAGTGAAAGCTTGGCTAACCGACAACATTATGAGTCACGAAATGCAAGTGCAGGCCGATTATAGAAAGAAACAAACTCTTGTAAAGTCTTTGGTGATGTTATATGATATGATGCCTTGGATCTTTGGAAACGCCACGGCCCAGCTTTTCTGGCTATAATAATACGAAGGATTTCTTTGATTCGGAAAATTCTGGAATTTATCTCCTCAATATCTACAAAGGATTTCTCTCATTCAGAACATTTTGGAATTTATCTCCTCAACATCTACAATTAGTTTTAGACCCCATAGACTTTTATTTTGGGCGAAATACTCCATCAATTAATTTTTTTGTTTTCTTGTCCAAAATTTGCTATTTGGGCTAAGCGAGGCCAGAACAAAAAAAAGACAGTTGCTTGTAACAATTAGAACCAACTACCTTTCTGTGGCAAAAAAAAAAAAAGAACCAACTATCTTTGATGCATATATCTAGGCAAAAGAATTCTTTGGCAGATGCTCTGGCATGGGTTCTCCTCCACCAACCTTTGGGTCTCACGTCCACAGAACCTTCGATCGCTGGTGGATAAAGAAGCTCTTGGTCCGAGTTCCTCTATAGGGTAGTCTCTTAGTTTGTTTTAGGCCTTAAGTAAGCCCTCGTTTGAATAAAAAAAAAAAAAACAACAACTATCTATTTCCAGTGTATGAAGAAGCACTCAGCGTAAGAAAATTTAACACCGAAAAAATTACAACGGGTCCTCATTGAGGAAGTTAAATTAGAGTAGGAGAGATGGAGATTGAGATCGTGTTAATAAGCCATACCTTGAGGAAATCAATACATAAACAGAAATATGTTCAATCATGACAGTACGATACTGCAGACAATAGTGTGAACATCTTCCTCGGTAAACTAATCTAACGTAGAGAATTTGGCGCATAATGAAGGTTTGTCCAACATCGGAGCCTGGTGCTTCCTTAATCCTTAAACAGAAACAGTGAAAATATCAAAATAGAGTCTTCATGGCATAGGAATAGGCAACAGGTAACTGAGTAGGGATAAACTTTCAAGTTAAAGGCAAGTCACTCACTTAGAAAATCACCGTCCACTGGAACATAAAACAATGCAGCATGTCTAAACGGATCAATCGTAGCCCTTTCCTAGACAGTTTAGACAGCGTTGCACCCTGCAATACCATGTATAACCATTGGAAAACAAAAACAGTTTATATAACAAAGGATGGTGCAGAACACGTTAATCTCAAATTCATCGACAGAATCAACAGAAAGCATAGCTTTCAAGTTAACTGAATTCTAAGCGTTCGGAGAGTCAGTTTATATTCATAAATCCGTTATCAGGGAACAGGAGTCTAAGTAATGTCCAAAAGGAGTTAGCTTTGCCATGAGGTCACTGATAATATTTAGACAAATTTTATAACTCAGCATCCCACCGTTAACTCTTCCACGAGAAGAAGATTATATCATCACTTTCTATAATTCTAATCAATTTGACACCAAATAATTGGATTGCGTCAGAAGTACTTTCGATATGAAATGATCTGTTTCTTACGTTACAGAACTCAGCAAGTATAGTGAGACATGGAGGAAATTCTTTCCCCAGTATTCAACATAGGAATAAGCAAATTTGCATATCAAGGAGAAGCAAAAGAAAAGGGAATCAGGAAATTAAAGAGCTAACCTATTTCCCTCGCAAGTAGGACAAAGGCAGGGATTAATGGCAATAGGGTCATACAAAGGGGACCATTCAATGGTGGAATTTCCTTTGCACAGATTGCATATATAAAACCCCTTCCCTCTACAAGCCATGCAAGGCAAAGCAACCTTTTTCTGCACAAAACCCACATTCTCAAACGTCTCATTTGTGAAGGGAACAAAAGCAAATCAAAACCGGAGGGGGAACAGTTAGAAAAACTCCCGAAAGACATGAATCTTAGCTAGTTTTTACCCGTTTTTTCTCAGATACAAGATGAAGGGTCCTGAGAGTAACAGTAGAAGCCAGGTTGAGAGTAAGAATCCCACCCAAGATGACTCCAGTTCCCATAACCAACGTTTGCAATGACCTAGGATTCATATCGTCGAATATGTGTGCCTATCAAATGCAATTTCTCAAACAATATAGACCATCCATCCAAATTCCTGCGTTCAGTTAGCAATAGGGATTGACTCGACTCTACTCTGCAGGGCCAAATTTCAAGTGCTCGCTTAAAAGAAAATAAAACTAAGGGCCCGTTTGATCCAACAGCGGGCTTATTTAATAATGCAATGCCAAGAAAGAAACTTGATCGCGAAAAATATAAAGAAATGCATCTAAGATCAATTCAGTAGGGGGTAAAAAAACCAAAGCCGAGAAGTGTCATTTTTCTAATCTACAATGACTTTGTTGGACCTTAATTTCTTATTGCGATTTCATTGCAGGTGAGCCTTGCTGCCTCTTGAAAGCGCCTTCTTCTGACAACACCACTGCTAATCCTGGAAGACAAGAAGCTGCGTCGCCTCGTTACTATGATTTTGAAGATTCTATATTTATGATATCTTGAACTCCTGGTGGAAGCACGCCTATCAAGTTTTTAGCTCTCTCCGTCTCTGATTCTACAGCGGCAGGAAGAGAAGTTAATGGTACCTTTTCTGCAGTCAGCAATCTAACGAGGGAATTGGAACAGAGAAGACAGACTTTGATGAAGCCTAGGGAGGAGGTTGATGATGGTGGGGGAGATGAAGAGGGAAGAGGGCAGCGGTGAGGCCGAGATGGAGATGCGGGTGACCGCCGGTGCTGTTGTTGCTAAGGCCAATGTTGTCGGGAAAAAAAATTAAAAAAAATTAAAAAAAAATAAATTATATAAAGAGAAAATAGTTTGTAAAAAACTATTTGGATATAATGAATTGGTGTACATATAAGGAAGACGACTTGCATATAAGAGAATTTTATTTACATACAAAAAAATTGAGTTACACATCACACAAAGAAAGATTATTGCATCCAAAGAAAGATAAATTGCACATAAAGAAAGTTAAATTGTAAACAATAAAAGTTAAGTTACACAAAGTACTTACATCCTATTTGTCAATTAAATTTTTAATGAGATATTTATCTTCAATTTTCCCTTCTATAAATCTTGACATATAATTCATGATCATTTTTGTACCAAATTGAGTTTCGGGTCAATAAATTTTCTTGATTAGTACTTTTATGCATGAAGAAGATATATGTGGGGTCTAAAATCATACTTCTCTTGTGCCTATATGACTTGATTTGAGAGTTAATGTAAGTGTTATATATAAGACTTATTTCACATGTTTACTCTCTTTTTTTTTCAGATTAACCCTCTTGATATTCCCTCCATGATAACCAAGTAGGAGAAAAAGGGAGAGAATTAAGGAAAATAATTAGGGTGTTTTAAAAAAACATATCATATCAACTAATTTAACTAACATCTTTAATCTATTCAAATTAGTTAATTAAATCTTACATTAACAATACGAGTATTATCATTTATGATCATTTAGGATTAGAGTAGTATCAACTAATTTAACTAACATCCTTAATTTATTCAAATTAGTTAATTAAGTCTTCCATTAAGTATTTGAGTAGTAATAAGAGGGAAATCAATTATAACCAAAAAGAAATATAAATATCACAGAAGTGCATAAATTCCATTATTTTCAATTGCATACTAAATTCTGTTATTAAGTGGGAAATGATGCGGCTCATGTTCTCCACTCTCAGCATATTCCTGCGCCGCAATTGGAGGTTCTTCTTTTTCGGGTCAATTATTGTTCCTGTGATTGGAGTTCACATCTCAGAACAATCCTCACACTTTCCTCAAAGACCCATCCGTGTGGGACAAAGTGGTTTCATTCCATGTATGTCCCTTAAAGCATTCTGGCTTGATAGGGATGAACGGATAATAAATTAATAATGCAGAAAAAAGAAAATTAATGAAAATTCTTCATCCATGAGTCGGCTTAAAACAACTTAGTCAACGAAAATCTCCAAATCAGTAACAGAGAGATAAGGGTTGAAGACTGAAAAACAGACAATTTTATTCTGGCTGACATGTGACCAGAATACTAAACTTCTTAAACTGTTTGGCCTCCATCCGCACTTATGACTTGTCCAGTGATGTATGAGGCAGCAGGCAGACAAAGAAATGCAACTATAGCTGAAATGTCCTTAGGTTCTCCAATTCGACCAACAGGAATTTCCGATGCTATCACATCTGCTGCATTCTCTCCTCTTGATTTTTCCTAAGAAGACAAATTACAATGCACATTACAAGCAGTTCCAAGTCTCACTAATTAATACTATGACCTGATATATAAATACGTGGCAAAGTACATATAAATGTAGTAGTATATATATATAGCAGTATGCAAGAAATCCAAAGTAAATGAGGAATGCAAGTGCAGGAAACTGATTTGCCTGATGCTTATACAGGTTTGCGTTTAATGTTTATACCATGCAAGCCTCTAAAAGTAAGGTCATCACGGCTCCGGGTGCTATTGCATTGACACGAATATTATCCTTTGCCCATTCCAAAGCCAAGTTCTTGGTGACTTGATTTATGGCTCCTGAATCAAATTATACATGTGTGTGCAGATTTTGTATCAGTCAAAATGCCCAATTATCTGATAGGATTATTGGATTACCTCTAGATGATTGATATGGGAAAAAAAGAAGATTTACCTTTAGATGCTGCGTAGACTGAAACATTAGGAAAAGCTTTCAAACCCGCAAGAGAGGAAATATTTACTATGGCACCATATCCTGATGCTTTTAAAAGGGGATGAGCGAGTTGGCTCAAATGGTAAGTTGACTCGAAATTGGTTTGCATTATAGTTGATACATCTTCAGCAGTATAATCTGTGCTTTCTTTGGCTATCACTGCGGCAGCATTGTTTATCTAACAGGAAACAACTTGATGAAGTCCAATGAAACATAGTTCATTCAGGAAAGAAATACGATCCTGTAAACGACCGATTGAAACTTTGAAAATGTTAACGAATCAACATAGCTCTTGTAGTCTGTTTTTATAAAAATCCATTCACAGAGCTCCATTACAGAAGCATAGAAGTAGTGCTGAAACTCAAAAAATGTTTAAGCTTGGGCTGAAACTTCATCTGAAAATTTTCTCTGGGTCACATTTAGGCGAGAAAAGCAATGTTGAATGTTGTAGAGTCCAATGTTAGGGGTAGTACAAATTAGTTATTTTTAATATTCAGTTTTAGGTGGTTTTATATTTCAGTTATCCTTTCAGACTACTGCCTCCTATCCTTAACAGAAGATCTTGTTTGATTTTTATTTTAGTCCTAAATATAAGACCCTAATTTATTTGTTCTTATATTTATGTATTTTTTTCTAAAGTAGTCCTTCTAATAATGATAGTTCTAACCAATATACTTGATTAGTAAGGATATTTTAGAAAAAACAACACCTATTTATTACAAATAACTAACTTAACTTCTTTTCTTAATCTTTTCAAATTAGTCAGCTAGCTCTTATAATTAAGACAGATGTAGTATTACAGTGGGGTTATTTAAATACTAGTTATTGGTAGAACCAGTTTGGGTGCTCCCGATATTGTCAGTTACTGATAATCTTTTTTTAAGAATATAGGAGGTTATCAGGAAGGTATTAGTCATTTATTTTCAATCATATTTTCAGCCGATTTAAGTCTATTATGTGATGACATTAGGGTATGAATGAAATTATATTATTGAGGAATTTCCCTCTTCTTCTCTCCTAGGATTTCAGATACTGATTTTAGGCTCCCTTCTACCACACATCTCCCTTCTACCTTCTCATCTGTTCTTTTCCCTCTCTTCCTTCTCCCAGGCCAATTCTTATTCTAGAACCTAACAGAATGCCTCTTTAGTTGGACATAGGATCAAATTCACACATATATTTTCATGTGGCTTCGTCTCGGATCCAACAGAAATTTAGCAGAGAAATATGAGATCATCACTTGCATACAGAAGTTACAGGTTTAGTAAATTATCACCAAGTCCTCCACTCTTCCTCAGAGTTATTACAATGACAGATACAACAAAAACAAGATTAGGAAGAAGCGAATGGAAGGAAAAGAGCAGAGACGGACAGACGCTAAACGAGAGAAACTTACAAGGATGTTGAGCTTTCCATGAAAAATGGAGGAAACAGTTTCCATTAAATTTTCACGTTGGTGACGAGAGAGTACATCACAGACTGATCCGGTGACACTAAATCCTTTGCTTTTCCACTCTGTCAAACACCTGTCGATGTCTGCTTGGTTCCGAGAACATATATGCACAACTGCTCCAAATTCTGCCAATTCTTCTACTATGGCATGCCTATTTCAAACTCAAGGAACATAAATCAGTAATAGAAAATGCTCAGACCAAATTAAATAGAAAAGAACTTTTGAACCAAATGGAAGTAACTGATAACTAACCCAATGCCTCTGGTTGCTCCGGTGACAAGAGCAGTCATCCCACTCAGCGACCATCTCTTGTCTTTGAGCAGTATCGCTTCAGCCATTTCTGTTTATTTCTCTGCTAATCAATGGAAACCTTGGAGTGGGTGATATACATATATATATATATATATATATATATATATATATATATAAAAGAGGCAACAAGCGTCTGTGAAGCGTTTGTGGTATTTGTATTTACACGCACAGGCATATGGTTATAATTGAATGCTTCCATGTGATGTATGTTTATGAGTCACCTACGGCCTATTATGTATAAAGAAACAGTGTTACAGGCCATAAAAACTGGGGGCCGACTAGTTCCAAAAGCTCAGGGCATTACGACGTCATGTAAGACTTTACACTTGTCTCTGCAAATCAACTTTTTTTTTGGGACAAAAAAAATTTAGGTGAGTGAGGTCTCAGAAACTCACCAGGATCAGGATATGCCTTCCGGCTCAAAAAGTGCTTATAAAGGTATTTACAGATCACCGGCATATGAACTCATGACTTTGTGAGTTATGAGCTGATTCCTTATCAATTGGACCAACTCTTGTTGGTCTCTGCAAATCAACTTTAATTTGTTGCACTCGTTGACAAGACCGAACAATAATCTGTCTGTATTAGTGTTTGTTGGGCCAAAAGTCACTTAGAGCCTGTTTGGGTGACTCTCAAAACCATGGTTTGGGAGGCAAAACCATAATTTGGGTGGAATGTCATCCAAACAATATCAATTTTGATGTCATAATTTGAAACAATGGTTTGGGCCAAAATCATAGTTTTGGAACCCAAAACCATGGTTTCAGGAGAAGTGAATCCATTCTGCTTCTGGCTCAAATTGGAGAGTATGATTGTGCCTGTCAAAGTAGATCTCAATAATAATATGACTTTAACATCTCTCAATTAATTTTTTATAAACATATTAATCTTATATATTATAAATATATATACACATTAATTATTCATTAATTATATTATCTTATGTATTATTAATTATGTTGGTAAAAAAATATATTATTAATAATTTTATTCTTTCAAATTAAAATATATCATAAAATCTATCTTTTATGTAATTATCATATTAACTTATGTCTTTTTTAGTAATTTGTATATATAAAAAGTGCTTCTGATAACAACTATCCAAACACTCTCATTTCTCAGAATCACTTTTTCACAAAATCTATTCTTCATAAAATTTATTTTCCCCAAAATCTATTTTCCAGAAACTATTCTCCAAATCATGGTTTGGTTTCATCCAAATACCTTTTTAGTCTGAGCATAAGCCCGCTTGGACAATGAGAGGTTGTTTGAAAGAGCTTTTGGCCATTTCACTTCAGGACC